TCTCTCTTGAACTCTCTCTCGAACTCTCTCTCGAACTTGAGAAAACTCTCTCGAACTCTCTCGAGATCTCTCGATCTCACTCTCTCGAACTCTCTCAAGATCTCTCGATCTCACTCTCTCGAACTCTCTCGAGATCTCTCGATCTCACTCTGTCGAACTCTCTCAGACCCTGCTACCATGAGGATCTCAACCCTGGATACATCCGCCTCCTACTAATACTGTGTGCCTATGGCCGCCTGTCTTCCACAGCACAGTGCTGCCCAGCAGGGCTCCTCAGCGCTCAGCCACTCGCAATAGCACACAAGCACCAGCAGCGCTTCCACCTCCTTGCTAATGAGCAATCGGTTCGAATAAGGCTGAGCCAGTCTTCTTATTGACTTGGACTGGGCCTTTGCTTCACTGGCCGGATCACCGGACAGTCCGGACCGGTCCAGACACTGGTCCGGAAGACAGTCCGGAAGTGTCCGGGTCCGGGGTTACCATGCCAAGCGCTCATCAGCGCAGCATCATATTCTACAGATTCAGTGTTTGAGTCACCAAGCACTCATCAGCGCAACACTCATCCTGTCTCTTATACACATCTTGATGTTGTTTGCAGTCCTACAAACCCTGAACGTAACCCCCCCCTTACCACTCTCGACCTCGACCACCCCGCCCCTCTCTCCCGGCCATGCCCCCCAAAAAAGTTTCCAACATTCAAAGTTTTATTGCGGAATCTGACAGATCTCGGCAGGCGCAGTCGGATCCCGCAAAAAAAATAATAGTAATAAAAAAGATTGGCCATTCTTTTGGGCCATCTGGTTTGCGGGTAGACCCCCCCTGCCCGGTCCGGCCCTGGTTGGACCGGGCCAGCTCAACCGGCCGGTTGCTGGCCCAGCCCTGCACCCAAAGCATATCCACCATGAGAGTTCACAAAATCCACACCGAAGTCCAGAGATAGGGAGACCAGATTACAGAATCTTCAATGAATCATCATCATATTATAAAGAGCCAAAGTTTGTGTCACCAAGCGCCAAGGTAACCGTCCGGACGTCCGGACCGGGTTCCAGACAGGCCGGTGTCCAGTATCCGGTGTCCGGTCGTCATGTCCGGATGGAGGCCCCTGGGGCAAAAAAAAAAAAAAAGGGGGGCGGCCCAGGACGTTTATTGGGTCTTGGCCGCCCCTCGAAAAATAACGGGGTGATTTTTTAGTGTCGTTTCACCCCACCGGTCATGGCCTAGAGGTCCGGACACAAGACACTGCAGGTTTTTGAGGTGGCGGGTTTCGCACAGGCCCGAGCAAATTTCAAAGCGGCCGTTTCGACGTGGCGCCCACCGCTGCTGCCCGTTGGGGGGAGAGAGAGAGAGAGAGAGAGAGAGCACTGACAGTGCTGCCATTCTGAAGACTCTGACGTTCTGAATTGAACTGCAAAGTTCGAACTTTAAGTTATATATGAAGTTATGAACTTAAATTACTAAATCCAAAGTTC